CCCATCCCCGGCTCCCTGGGTCCCACCCACCCCGCCCGTGCCCACCGGGACCAGCCCCATCCCCGGCTCCCTGGGTCCCACCCACCCCGCCCGTGCCCACCGGGACAGCCCATCCCCGGCTCCCTGCCCGCCGCGCCCGTGCCCACCAGAACAGCCCGTCCCCGCCCCCTGGGTCCCGCCCACCGCGCCCGTGCCCACCGGGACAGCCCCTCCCCCACCCCCGGGGCCCCTCCAGGCTAAGGCTTCAAGGCGCTTGTGCGGGGAGAGATCCAACCCCAGCCTTATGCGTGTGCACACGCCTGCCAAACTGGGGGTGTCCCTAGGCGTGCATGTCCTTGTGTGTGGTAGCATGCACATGTGTGTTGTCACGGGTGTGCAGATGCTTGGAGGTTGTCTGAGGGGATGCGCGAGGCATGTGGGTGGTGCTGGGGGCCGTATCTCCCGAGCCCCCTGCAGCCAATGGCCCACGAGCGTTTGCAGGGTGGGTGCACACACATTTCCATGCGGCGGGGGGGGGGGGGGGGAGTTCACGCCGGGACTTGTCTCCTGTTCACCACTGCCCCCCCTCTAGGTTTTTGAAGAAAAAGCTGTGGCCGGTGATTCCCAGCCCGGAGCACAAATTCGAGGGGCTTTTCACCCTCTACAAGGGGAACTTCCAGGTACCAGATCCTGCCCTGGCCGGGGCTCCAGGGGCACTGCAGGGGGCTGCAGCCCATCGACGCATGGAGGGGTCTGGCCAGCAGGGCCTGCTGGGGGTCACCACCCTGCCCCGGGGGCATCTGTGCTGGGGATATGGGGGTCTGATGCTGGGGGGATACGCTGGGCTGGGGGACCAGGGTGATTGTCCGGGAGGGGGAGATGCTTAGAGATGGGGGAGCCGCCAGAGGAGGGCCAAGGTGGAGAGTGAGCCTGGGGCTGGTTTTCATGCTGCCAAATGCTAGGCATTGTTGTGGTAGGCCCTACATAAACCCTTGGTTTAAAACAAAGGGGCTGGCAGGAGCTGGTGGGGGACAGGCAGAACCGGAGAGTCCAGGGATGCAGAGAGGGGGCTCAGACCCCCAGGCTTGGCTCAGTAGGTGCCCCCCTCCCCACCCCGCCTCTCTGGTGATCCAGGCCCTGTTGCTTTCGCAGCTCTGGCTGGGACAAAGAAATGCCTACCTGTGGTGGAGCGCGAACCCTGGTTATTTGGAGGAGCAGCCCACCATGCTGGAAGTGCTGTCCGAGGGCCGCGAATCCAAGGTGGAGGGGCCGGTGCCCCCTCTGCCCCCCAAAGCCCAGGGCTCGGTCCCGCCCGCCCGCCCTGAGCCGCCCGCGGAGCCCCAGGATGACTACCTGGTGCTGGATGAACAGCTGATACCATGCAGCCTGGGCAAGGACTCTCTGCTCCTGCCGGATGCCCGGAGCAGTGCGAGCTCTGAAGCGCCCCCTGCCATGGGGCAGGAGCTGGGCTCCCCGGGGGCGACACCGGAGCCCGTCCCAGAGGAGCGGGTCTCGTCCTCCTCCAGCTTCGAGTACACCGTCTTCGACCCCAGTTCGGAGCTGCTGGCACCCTGTGGGCACCAGCGCCCGCTTAAATACAGCTACCTGCTGGTGTCCGACTCCGGGATCTCCGCTGACTACAGCCCCCTGGGCACCAGCACCAACCGGCCCAACCTCTACACCAACCTGTGCCAGGAGGAGTGCCAGGCCCAGCCCTTCCCAGCCAGCTACGTGGTGTGCTCATAGTGCCGGCGGACGGGCACAGGACTCTGGGCCTGGAGAACAGAGATGGAACCCCACGTCTGCCGGACGTCCCGGCAGGACAAAGAAAAGACCCCGTCCCAGCAGGACGTTGAGGGGACCGGGGATGATATAAAGGAGACCCCCCATCCCAGCAGGACGTTGAGGGGACCCCGTCCTGGCATGACGTAAAGGACACCCCATCCCAGCGGGACACAGAGGATGGATATATGACCCCAGCACCAGCTCCCTCTTGCCTGGGGCTTGCAAGGCTGTGGTGGAAGCCAATGGAGGTGGATCCGAACTGCCCCAGGTGGATCCGAACTGCCAGGCCGGAAACTCCCACTGGGCCGGATGGGCCACGGGCAACGCGGCCGGTGCCGGCGGTCACATCCGCGGAGCAGATGGTCAAGGACCAACCTGCCAGCAGGGAACGTGACTGCCAATTCCTCCCACACCAGAGCTGGCTTGGATTCGAAACACGAGCTGGGTGGAAGCTGCAGCCCCTGTGCCACCAAGGGGAGCCCACCCACTCTGCGACCCCCCAAGCCTGGCTCGGCTGCAAGGGATGCTGGGAGTCCTGCAATCCTGCTTCGTGCCCAGTGACACGGACTTCCTGCCCCTTTTCTTTTTGTACTTATGTGTATAGGGGGGAAGCTCAAAAAGCCCCGTTACTCCTGTAAATCTGTTACTGCTGTGACAGGGGCTAGAGGTTGGGGGAGGGCCGGGTGTCTGGACTCTTGGGTTCTAGCCCCAGCTGTGGGAGGAGAGTGGGGCCTAGTGGTTAGAGCTAGGGGAGCTGGGAGTCAGGACTGCTGGGTTCTAGCCCAGCTGTGCCACAGACTTGCTTTGTGACCTTGGGCATGTCCCACCCGACCTCTGCGCCTCAGTTTCCCCATTTGTAAAACTGGGCTGACAGTACTGACCGACCCGGGCTGTCATTCGGATCTTCCCTCTGCTATTAGTATTTAACTCCACGGGGTTGTCCCTGCCCTGGGGTGCTCCCGGATGGCCTGATTCGCCCTGGCACCACCACCAACCCATGGGGCCAGCATTGAAACGCCTGGGGTTGAGGGCTTTCTCCTACCTGCCCGGCAGTGGTGGGGCCCCAACTTAGGGCAGGGGCTTGTTAAAGGGGAGCAGGTGGGGCTGGCGAGGAGGGCCAGTGGGGGTTGAGAATCCCCCAGAACTAGGGGACTGCCCCACAGTGCAGAGTGCCCTGGCAGGGGTGGGGCCCCACTCGGAGCCCACAGTAGCTGGATGCGTGATAGATCTTTGCCTTTTAATAAAGATGGGTTTTTTCACTCCGCGTCTGCCTAGTCTCTGCTGGGGAAGGCTCCACGCATCCGGGACACCCCATTACATCAGCTGTCGGAAACTGACCAAGCTCCGGCTTCAAACCAGTTCAGTCTCTTCCCCCTCACTGCTCCTCAGGAGGGCTGCTGCCTTCTCTGCTGGGGAGAAACCTCCTTCCCCATCCACCAAGTTTGTTCCTGGCCAGCCCTGTTCTTTAGTGGCCCTACCGCTCACCCCTCCCTGGGATCCCACCCGTAGCTTTATAGAGCCACCAGACCCCCTCACAGACGCGTTTCGGGCTCTGCCTTCCCGAGCAACCCTTTGCTGTGCCGGGGGAGAGACTGGAACCTCTGTAGGGCAGGGACTGGCTTTGTGATCTGGGTTTGTACAGCGCCTAGCACAATGGGATCCTGGACACTGCCGTCATACAGATAAACCACGTTTTCCGCACCTTGTAGCAGGGCCTGAGGAGCCCATCGCGACACCGGTTAAAGCCAGCGTGCATGGCTGCCTGTCCCACGTGCTGGGGTGTTGCACGTGCACAGCACTAGTGCAAGGAACCGTGGCAACGGGGCCCTGGATGCTGCTGGCTCTCAGCCCGGGTGTTAACAGTGCCAGGGGCGGAATTGGCGGAGTAGCTCCGCTTGGGTCCAGCCCCCCACCAGCGTGAGAACACGTCCCTCCTTCGGCTCAGCGCCCATCCCCACCTGATAGCGATTATCTCCACAGCAACCGGCCCCCCGGGGTTATCAGCAGCGGCTCAGCTTGTGGCAGGCCGCGGGAGCCCAGCCAAGCGCTGACTCTCGGCGCCGATCCAACAGCGGCAGAGTGAACCACTTGGGAAGGGAGCCCGTCCGGAGAGACGGGAGGGGGCAGGAGCTGAAGGCTGCGGCCGAGACAGCAGGGAGCCTGCACGTGAGCTGCTGGGCCTTGATTCGTGGCTCCACCCTCCGTGTGCCAGCGCCCCCAGCCCTGTGCCAGCTCAGCTCCATGGCACTAAGCCAGCTGTGAGGGACACTCATGTGGGAGGGGAGTGGGGTCTAGTGGGTTAGGGAGGGTCTGGGAGCCAGGACTCCTGGGTTCTACTCCCAGATCTGGGAGGGCCTGGAGTCAGATTCTATTACTGGTTCTGGACGGGGAGTGAGGTCTAATGGGGGAAGTGACTTTCTCGAGGTAAGACAGCAGGTACTGAGTGGCAGAGCCAGGAGCAGAAGGCCAATCTCCTCTGCTCCGAACCCTGCATCCTACGCACTGGAACAGATGGGCTCCCCCTCAGAGCTGGGCGCAGCTAACTGGTCAGGTCACCCCACCTCCCCAGAGAGCCGAAACCATGGAAAATAAATTCGATTCGGGGTAGAGAGTACGTATTGCTCTGTGTCTGTGCAGCACCTGGCCCGATCTCGACTGTTCCTTCGACGGTACTGGAATAAACAGATTTGAATTGTTGAATTTTCCTTCATTTCTATTCACAAAGTAAGCAGGCCAAGGAGGGGACGTACAGAGACGGATTTCCCCCTAAATCGCTCAAGGATCAGCCAATAACCAGGGCAGAAACCCACACTCGGGAAACAGACGAATTTACATCTCCAGAGCCCCAGGGGTCATTTCTCAGCCCCGGCAGCTCTATCTGTGTCCGAAGCCGCCCCTAGATCCTCGGCATGCCCCCAGGGAACCGGGGACACCCTCATCTCTCCATCGAGGCCGAACCCCAGCTTCCATTCCTGGTCTGCGGCACCGGGCTGGGACAGGCGCGCCCTGAACGTCCGGTCGCCCCCACAGTCCTCCTGGCCCAGGGCTGGCGCCGAGTCCGGGCACAGCCAGCACTGGGCTGGGAAGTAGCGCTGGAGGATGCAGAGATAATCCTCCACCTCTGTTTCCCCGGAGACCTGCATGGAGGCGATGAGCTGGCAGCAGGTGGCAGATCCTTGGGGGTCCGCGCCGAGGCGCCCCGTGAAGTATGAAGCTGTGTCCACCAGCAGGGCTGAGAGCCGGGCGGCCGCCTGAGGGCCAGGGCAACCAGCGAGGTACTGCTCCAGCCCGTCCAGCAGGAGGAGGGCAGGGGGCCCAGGCAGGCTCTGGTGCAGCGAGGCCAACAGCCGCAGCAGCTCCCGCAGCGAGGGCGGGTAGAGGAACTGGATGCACTGGGGTGGGGAAGGGGAGGGAGCTATTGAACGGGGTCGGCCCCAGCCCGGGATCCCCTCCCCCACCAGACCAACCTCGACCCAGCCCAGCCCCCCGCCTCCCAGCTAGCCCCAACCCAGTATCTCCTCCCTTCCCCTGCCCAGCATCCCCCTGTGCCCAACATCCAGCCACGTCCAGGCCCTGTCCTATACCAGCACCACCTCCAAGAAGCCCCTCCCTATCTGGCCCCGCCCACTCCTCAAGCCCCTCCCTTTATCCTAGGCCCTTAGGCTCCTCCCCTGCCATGAAGCCCCACCCCTTAGCTCCCCTCCTACTCCCTCCCTCCCATCAAGCACTGCGGCCTCCAGCTTCTCCCCCAATTCAGCCCTCCCGGGAGAAAGGAACTCCGACCCGCTAAGATTTTTTACCCTTGGCCCCGCCCCCTCCCCGCAGGCCCCGCCCAGGATATTGGCCCCGCCCCCTCGCCGCAGGCCCCGCCCAT